TCCATGAAGAAATTTTTCCTAATATCCAATCTAAACCTCCCCTGATGCAGCTTGAGGCCGTTTCCTCTCGTCCTATCACTTGTTACTTGGGAGAAGAGACCAACACCCGCCTCACTACAACCTCCTTTCAGGCAGTTGTACAGAGCAATAAAGTCTCCCCTCAGCCTCCTCTTCTCCACACTAAACAACCCCAGTTCCCTCAGCCGCTCCTTGTAAGACTTGTGCTCCAGACCCTTCACCAGCTTTGTTGCCCTTCTCGGGACACGCTCCAGCACCTCAGTGTCCTTCTTGTATTGAGGGGCCCAAACTGGACACAGTATTCGAGGTGTGGCCTCAGCAGTGCTGAGTACAGGGGGATCATAGCTTCCTTAGTCCTGCTGGCCACACTATTCCTGATCCAAGCCAGGATGCTGTTGGCCTTCTTGGCCACCTGGGCACACTGCTGGCTCATGTTTCAGCAGAAAGGGTGTGATATGCCAGTTCTAATATGACAGGAGCTATTCAGGAAAATGTTAAAGAGGAGTTTGAATCAGGCAGAAAACAGAGCTGGCCTCATACCTCAGATGAGCACTCAGTCCACTGATACCTTCAGAAGGCAGAAGAAAGAAAGGGGACATATGATATCTTCTTAGAAGAACAGAGTAAGTGCTCCGTGTCTTTCATGCACATCCCTATCTATCCTGTTCAGTTCTTGAAAAATAATTTGTAGGTTCAAAAGAAAGTGCTGGGCTGTGAGATTTACATGGAGGGAAGTCCTTGGCACAGCCTTGGGTAAGGTATAGGGTATTTGTGTGCTGGACAATTCTTGGCTTCTGCCTGCACAGCACGCTTGCTACATTGGAGAGATGCTTTTCTCTCCATGTGTGCTTGTGGAGGGGATGGTGGCCCTTTCCTGCAGAGCTCCAAGAGTCCAAGGTGTCGGACATCCAGCCACCAACTGTGTGGACACTGTGTTCTCTTTGATCTTAGACTTCCAGATCTCTCATACATTTTACCTGAACTGTCCCTGCCCAGCTCTGTGGCACCCCCAGGAGCCCTGTTTCTGTTACCCTCTGTATGACTGGGTGGAGTTGGATCAGAGAATCAACACCATTAAAGAGTTATTTGGTTTGGGTTTTTTTGTGCATTGATCTTTGAGCAACAGTGATATCAAGTGTTGTATTTTTAAACTAGTTGGATTGCTCCTACCTAGTGTAAATTAGACTTGGATATAAGGTTTTATGGGTTTATATGGAAATATTGACCTTGCAGTGTTTTGTTTCGTGTTTTTCTTCCCCTTTGCAGCTACACAGTACATTGTGAATCATTTACTACAATTAGACCTGGAGAAAAGTAGGTTTGAAGGGAGGAAGATGGAGGAGAAGGTGATATTTTTATATAGATACATACACTATAACCTGCTTACATTGCATCTAGGTAAAAGTGACTCAGCTGAAAAACAGACACAAGGAAAATTTTATTGAAACAAGAACAGTAAGGTGTAAAACTCCTAGTTGTTGTTGTGAAATTTGCAAGATTCTTCACAATAACCATGCAGAGTCTTTTTTTTTTCAGTCATTCTTATAATCTTCAGTCTTAAAATAGTCATAACCATGTTGCTTCATTCTTGTAACTGCCCTTTTCTTTCTGGCAATGCCCTTGTAAGTGACATTTCCTCTAACATAGGATTTTCTTCAATATCAGCGTCAAGAAAATGTTAGAAATCATGCTTTTTCTCATTGATAAAAAGTTCTTCCTCTCATTTTAGGTATTTTTCTTGAATGTGAAAGTAAAATTGGAAATAAGGTCCCTTAAAAATGTCACTAGAGCTTTTTTGAACTATGCGACTTTGAAAAGTTTCATGATAGTTCTCAGCAAATATCAAGTCAAATGTCATTTAGAAAGTGATATAGGAAATTACTATTGCTTTGAGAATTAATAAGAATTGAGAGTCTGCATTTTGGAGGTCAGATCTTCCTTTTCTTTGTTTTTGCTTTTTGTACTGCTGTTGCAGGAGTTCTCATTCTCGCTTGTTCTTAGCCAGATGTGAACACCTGCAAACGCAATATATGAGCCAGAGGTGTCAGATTTGGCGTTTACATTCAACTTGACATATGGGAGACCCTAATTCATGAACAACGGAATGTCTCCAAGTCTACGCTAGTGGCAAAACTTTTGTTATGCTATGTATTGGGAATTCATGTACAGCTCAGTGTAAATTTTGAAATAACATTTATGAAGCAGTACACAGCAGAAATTTGCTAATCTGAATTTTGCTACACCATGTACTTTATAACCTGTCCATGCACATATATACAAAATCTTGGTCGTGCTCTACCTATTAGCAGAGATTTAATAGCAGAGGGTGCAATAGGTTTCATGTTACTGAAATTTCATTCTTTGAAGAAAATGTGGTGCACAATATTTATTATACTGTGACATGTTATCAAGATTAAGCAATGCTTATGCTTGGGTTAAGGCATTACTAAAGAACTTGGTTCGGTACCCGTTTTTTCTTTGGTTAGCAATTTGATCTTGGGAAAGTACTTCAGGTTTTTGATCCCTGAGTTTTTACATCTGTAATGCGGGGATGGAATTCCCCTTTCTCTGCCCTTATAGAGCTTGATTAGAAAAATCCCTGGGGCAGTGATGATGTCCATCTGCATTCATATAGCATTTAGTAGATGAATGTTTCTCCAACCTCAAGCAAGCTATTGCTTATTAGATTATTAAATTATTATTATTATTAAATTAGATTATTAGATACGGTGTCAGATGCTATTCTAACTCCCAAAATTAATAACAAACAAAAAAGTGAACAGATTCTATGCTTCATTGACCTTGGTTTTTGTTTGCTCAGACTCTTGCTAGTTAGGAAATAAATTGATTTCACTGATCAAAAGTCTGTGGATGACAAGGAAAAGATCCCCTTTCATACCTGCAGCTTCTGTAGCAAGGCTTGTGGTTCTCCAGGATGCCTCTGGAAAAGGGCAAGAGGACTGGATGGGTGCTTTGAAGTGTCTTACCTTTATTTCTAAAAAAATTTCCCTTATTTTAACATGAGGATAATGGTATTTACCTTCTTGAGCCTTATTTATCAGGGTACCATGTAAGATTTACACTATTATGTATCACGGCAATGAAAAGATACAAATGTTCTCAGAAACTCGTAGAAACTTAATAATGATTGGTGTTGAATATGGGTCGTTTGGTGTCATCATGAAGACAGGAGCCGTACTATTTTTTTTTCTTCTGTCTGTTACACTGGTATAATTACACTGAAATCAATTGAGTTACACCAACATGAGAGAAATGGCTTTCTTTGCATTTTGAATAACCAGTCAGAAGATGGTCACCGTGTAGGATTTTTTTGTTTTGCTTTGTTTTTTGAAAAAAAACCAAAACCAAAACCAACAACAAAAAAACCAAAGGGCAAAGAGAGTGCAAAAAGAGTGAAACAGAAAAAAGAATACTGTCTCTTTTGTCACAGCATTGCTGGCTTTGTATGATGACAGTGCAGTACAGCTGCTACAGCAGTGTGGGTGTAATGATATCAAGACCTTAACCCTGTGTCTAATTGCTTTTCAGAATTCCCCTACACCTGAATAAACAAGGCAACATCTTGTTTTGCTCTGCATGTCAGGATGTCTCCTTTTTTTCCTTGCACAGTTGGTGCTCGTGAGGCAGTCTAGGAGGTGTCCTCAACAACATCACTTGCAAACTATACAGGCAGGGAGCCACTGGTGTATCTCCTTTCATGACCAGGTGTCTTGTGACATCTTGTCACATCTCCTGTCACATAACCTGAGATTTAGCTTGGAGTCATATTTGTATGGCGCCAAACTTGAATTCTCCTGTAGGGCAGACATTCTGGTTTGGTCACCACAGGAGAGCTCAGGGGACAGTATCGCACCGTAGAACGTTCTTCAGATGGTGTATGTATATGTGTACCCATGTGCAGAAAAAGAAATATTTCTATCCGTACATGTATTCTTGTCAGACTGTGAGGTAATGTCTCTGATTGCTAGGGCAGATAAACTATCATGAAGAATGAATTTAATTTAAGAACAGAGACATCTCTTTGGAGAAGGGTGGTATTACACTTAAGTGTATCATCTGAACGAAAACCACTGGTCAGACTGAATTACAGGCCTGGTTACTTGGTCACAAAAGTTGGTCAGTAGAGTAAACACATCTCCTTTGGCATCAATTGGATATTAAATTTACTATTATTTTGGCTTTCAATGAGGAAAAATGGACAGTAGCGCAAATAAAAACAGGGTTGCTGATATTTATACTTCATATTTAACCTGTAATGGTCCTTAGAGGGTAATCAAATTGTTTTTCTAAAAGGATACTCTGAGCAGAGCAGCATATCCACAATAAAATACTAATAGTATTATGAAATATTCCAGCAGGCTCTGTCCAGTCCTCTTTTTGTAATAGGGAGGTTCAAAAAGCACATACTCCTACTTGCAGCTTGTAAGAAAAAGGGAAATATATTCCTTATTCACTTAACCTGTTAATGCACTATTTGGATTTATGCACCCAATGTTAACATATGCTAATTTATGTTAATGAGAGAGATTGTCATCTGGTGCACGGTAGTGTAACGTAGTTATGGAAGTCTATCCAGAGAAGGATTCCAGCAGCCCAGGCGTGGAGCCCTCTAAGAGTACCTTCTCAAGGCCAAATGCAGAGAGGATCTGCTGGGAACATACCCAAGGACGGACAGCAGCACAGACAACGGCAGAGGTTCCTCACAGAGCTGCAGCTGATGTCCGGGTTAAGACACAAACTGCTGTTTGGTCTGCAGTAGGTTACTCCCTGACCCAGGCCTAGGAAAAACAGCAGAACAAAGCAACATAGTAGCTTACCACCACTTGTGTGTCTTTTGGAGAGTCCTCAGATCATGAGCTCCTGGAAGCAGAAGGCTTTGCCTAAAGCACCTCGTATTCTCTTGCTTATTATGTACTTTGGAAATAATTATAACTGTCACTGACTTGTTTTCTATGTTACAGTGTATGCCATGGTCGAAAGTGGGAATGCACCAAAAATATGTGTGATGGCACTTGCACTGTTATTGGTACAGCTCATTATTTGACATTTGATGGATTGAAATACAAGTTTCCAGGAAACTGTCAATATGTGTTAGTTCAGGTAAGACTATGTAAAACACTGAAGCTGTCTGATAATATATGAGGTGTTTTACAGAGAAGAGAAGTCCAACATTTGGATAAATCACAGCGAAGTATTCTTAATTGCTAAGCCAGGTGTATGGTAGAGGAGAGCAGAGCTTATTGATGACTTCAGAGATGCCTTCAGAAATATGAAGCTTGTGTTCTGTTCTATAGAAGCGAGTTAGGTAGTCATGGGTCTAGCTGGCAGTCGTAAATCATACGATAGCAGCATGGTATGGAGAAGAGCTGTCTGAACCTCATCTCTAACAAGGAGCTGTAGATACCATAAATCAATCTTTCCTCATTCCCCACTAGCTGCTTTATCCTGTAGTGATGGCTTACTGTCTGACTGAAAGAGACCAGAAGTGCTTGGTGAACCTTCTCTAAAAGTGTCCAGAGCACAGACTCTGCTCGTTCACTTCGGCAAAGTCACTGTCCTGTTCCATGCACCAACCTGTTTGGGTACATTGACAATATCCAATATAGATAAAGACATAGCACGCTAACGTCAGCCTGTGATTTGTGGGAGAGCCAGAAATTTAGAGTGTTAAATAAGATCAAAGCTCATCAACAGATGCAAATTGTTGTGTATTTAAAAATGCATGTGCAAAAGAAGAGGGATTTATCTGAAAATTTGGTCTAACGCTAGATGTATGCACTCCTAATTGATAACAACAGTCTTCTGCAGTTAGAAAGTGTCATGTTTCTTGGGTGGGCTACTTTTTTCCCCACAGACCCTTTTCATGAGGCTCATTCCTCCCTGCAGTTCTCCTTGGGCAGGAAAGTGTGATCAATCTGTCTCTGGCTAGGTCTTTGAAATATGCTCCCACCTTGATTCCAGCTGGATTACCTTAAAAGAATGATTGCACTAGTGAGAGCTCTGTATAAAGGTCTTATGGGCAGTAATAGCATACAGTACTACAAAACTACTTAAAATGAAAATGAGATCTGTTTTCCTCAGATGACAAACACAGAGAACTATAGACAGGGTCTTTTTCTTAAAAGGTACACACTAAAAAACGCCAAAAAACCTAAAAGCCCTTATAGTCATGAGTCATCATATAAATGTACTACTAACTCTCCATGCATCTCGGAAATATTTGACTTAAAATTACATTAAATGGCATAATTGCTTCCCAAGAAATAGGTTGACATTATTGTAATTATTATTTGTGTACAGGTGGGAAAACATGGGCGTCAAACATTTTGCTCCAAACGGTGCAAGAAGTTTCTAACCCTTTTTTCTAACCCAACCTTCTAGGTTTATATTTTTATTTTATCATTAAAGCTGCAGAGTCTTGTTTTCACTGTTAAGTCAGTAAATATATGTGCATTAAGATGTATACTGTGACCATTGTACATCTTTAAAATACTACAGATACTGTAATAGCATGGATTCTCCCTGCAAAATATGCATGTGTATGTGTCACTGGCAGAGCGGGCCTCATTTTTTAAGGGGTGGGCCACATGAATATCAACACTAAGCACAAAATAAATTAATATAGGAACAGTTGGTATGCCAACATATATCTTACTGGCCACAGAGTGCACAGGGTATTATCTGAGGCTTCCTTTTTCTCCATAGATCTGTATGTGTTTTTCAAATGTTCTACGTTAAAGACTCATTCATGTATTTTCATCTGATAGGATTTCTGCAAGGATGGTTCTGGGACGTTCCGGATACTAATTTCAAATGAAGGTTGTGGCTTCACTGGAGAAAAGTGCACCAAAAAGGTTATCATTCTGTATGAAAGTGGGGAAATAGAGCTGTTTAATGGAAACGTAAGTACACTTCTGTTCTCTTCCTCTTTTTTGGGGAAAAAAATTTGTGGTTGCTTAGTAAGATGAGGCATGAATGACCTCATGCTCAGTGGTTCTTGAAAATTAGATCGTAAAATGAACAGATTAGCAGGGTTATAGCTACCCATTTCGCTCCCAGAGGTATAATGCCATTTTGGTATTCCTGCCTGATGCTAATAAATTTGTCTCAGGTAAGAATGCTGTTCAATGCAAGCTCATATGAGGAATGCCCTGTCTAAACATGGGAGGTCTAAGTCTATTTCAAGCAAGGTTAGGTGCAAGGAAGAGCTAAGAAGTGACTGTCCCATGACTAGTGAAGATTCAAACCTAATTTAGCCTTCTGAAGGACCGAGCACACAGGAAAAAAAAGAAGTCATGGCTGAAACAAGTTGATACCGCAGAAGCAAATATCAACTATCCTTTCCCTTGTTAAATCGTCAGATGGAAAGTCCAGGTGACTAGATTCTTCTTTTTGACCCTTTCCTGCCAAAAAACACTGAAGAATTGACCAAGAATTACTTCCACCTCCCATGTCCCTTCACGGCAGGAAACAAGCTTTCCAAAGGGCAGAGTTCAGCTCCTTGCCTTGGGCATGCTAACAATTAAGAATATCTGTGTGTTCAAACATTACAGAGCTACAGTGGATTATAGTGTTTCAGTTGCTCAGTTTTCAGAAGTCCTGTGCTCTGAACTGGCATCTGGACCAGAGCTTTGCAAAAATCTTCCCAGTGAAACATGAAACCACTCTACATTTGCCTTATTTTGGGTTAGCAGGCAAAGCTGTACCAGGTTTTGCATTGCCTGCAAATTGCTGTGTGCCACTGATGCATGACAGGAACCCGTAAAACATACCAATATTAATAGTGTCTGTGCAGTGCATCTTGACAGCATATGATCAATGTAGGCTTTTGGTTGCTGGAGGAATTAATATAGGGCATATTGGTTGCCCAACCAATTCTTTATTTCTACCGTTGAAGAATCCCCTACCTGGGTGAGGGTGAAGAGTAGTGCAGGGATCCATCCATAGAGCCAGGCTTTGTCGGAAAGCTTCTTTAGGTGACAGATTTTCAGAAGAGCTGTGATTCCGTTTGGACACTTAAAGAAGGGCCGGAAAAGACAAGAGGTGATTAGGCATCCAGCAACAGAGGGTGTTTGATATTTATGTCCTTGCAAAGGTCTGTATCGCAAGACTGTCCACATGAGCTTGACTGAGTTTTTAGCTGTCTTTCTAGAGAGTTTAAGGCTCAGCGTATTATCTAGAGCAGGTTTTCTTAGAAATAACAGCAACCAAAGGAGAGATTAAGGAAAAACAACTGATATGAAGACTCTTAGGTAAATTCTCACCCAGTGATGACTTCCTCCACTCTTTTTCTGCAAGAATCCTTAGAAGCAATCAGAAGAATCAACTCTCTTTTTTTTTCCCATTAAAATGTTTCCAAGCAGCATTGTTTTAAGATGATATTGTTTTGAGAGCAGCTTCTAGTTTTAAGTAAACAAGGGTTTAATTGAAGTATCTGCATGCTACAGTTCTGGCTCACATAAAAATAATTTCACGATAATTTTTTTTAGCTTTTCTGAAACAAATAAATCTACCACTTTGCAAGGTCAAAAGTTTATGACTTCATGGTTGGGCAAAAAGCCTCCATAAACATTGAAATTCTGTAATTTAGGTCAACCTCCCAGCTCAATTCTGTCCTCCTCTGGTTCTTGCCTTAGTTTGGAAAGACAGAGACTACTGTAGATATTTATAAGATAAGTGACCAAGTGTGACTAGACTATATAGTAATACATTGGGCATAGAAGAAGATGAAAAAGCTTCCAGTTCCTATAATAGTCTATCTTTCAATGTATTCTTCCCCTAAAGACATTGAAGGCCCTCTTTAGGAGATCTTTAGTCTTCTCTGGGGATAAAGTTTCTGGTAATACCCCAGAGATGAAAAGAATTGAATTACAGTACTGAGCTTTTACTGAATTGAGCAAGAAGGAACAGTGGGATAAGGAAGTATTTTGCCCTCGAACTAGGGAGTGGATGAATGGTTTGTGGGGTCCTCTTTCTCCCTTGCTTTAATCACTATTTGTACTGATTGAAAGTTTTCATCTGCCTCTTCGACAATCAAGCAGTTTTTAGTTAATGCATTAGTGATGCTTAAAGTAACAGCCATGCCAGACCTTTCTCTCCAAATGTGGTTAATAATCCTATTAGTGTTCCTATTGAAAGGGGATTACAGTGTGAAAGAAAGCATTTTAAATTAATCTCTTAAGTTCTTAGTAGCTGGAGGCAGTGAATTTGCAGTCAGATGGAAAGAGAGAGAGGCACACAAGGGAAAGTGAGTGATGGAAAAATGAAGAGACACGGAAAGGAATCTCTCAGGATTTTTCCTGTCAGTGTAGCTGGTTGGGAAGAAAGTCCTTCCTGACTTCAGAATCAGGCTTTGGTCCTTCAGAGGCCACCGATGCATGTGGTTCTCCCAGTTCACATAACACTTAAACCTAGCCAGCCCTTTTGTCACTACCTGCCTCAGGAGCACAGAATTGTTAGTTTCCTAAAAGGATGAAATAAAAATAAAACATAATTATTCAGTGGGCAATTGACCAAATACTAAAACGATTGTTAATTGGGTATACCCCGTGCTCTTTATCAGCCCTCCTTCTGTTTAGCAGTCATTGCTTTGTGTGTCATGATTTGTGGTGAGTGTATGTTATACCCCGGGAGCAAAAGGGACATTGCCTCATTCAGAATTATAGAAATGTGATGAGATTGAAATACTGTGCTTGTATCCCAATTTGCTGTTCAGAAATGTTGTTTCTAAGGCAATAATTTATCCACAGCAACTTTTCAGTGTAGAGACAAGCCTGTAATCAGTCCCTTACCCATACCTTGCTTACAGTTTTGCAAGTGCTCCAGAGCATCTGTATAGGGTATGGGAACTATTTGTTCTCTGGAGAACAGCATGTTTGAAGACAGCTTATAACCTATGAGCATGTGTCCCACTGGGAAAGTGACCTACATGAAATAGTAATTAGAGACACTGTAGATAGCACAATGTGCTTTTCTTGTTCAGGTAAACATCAAGGTACCTCTGAAAGATGGCAGTGATTTAGAAGTCATGAGGTCTGGCCGTTATTACATCATTTTACTGGGCAAAAGCATCAGTGTGACCTGGGATCTGGCCATGGGAGTCTCAGTTATCTTAAAAGGCAATTTCAAAGTAAGTGGTTTTTTTGCTTTACTTCTTACTCTCACTAAAGAATGCACTTAACCCTGTCTCTGGGGAATAACATTTTTTTATACAGGCATGCTGATAGATTTCTGTGGAGTATTAGGCACTTGCTTGAAAAGGAAGTGATTTTTTTTGTAATACCATAAGGGTTGCTTACTTTTCCAGTAGTTTAGCTGTGAGGGGTAAATTCTGGGTCATTGGAGATGACCTATGACAGAAAGGATGAATGCTGTGGTGCCTCAGAATAACTATGCCTTGAGTGATTTCTTCTGTATTCAAGAAGAGC